GCCATTGTTTCACCCCAAGGTGGTGAGTTCCCTTGCCACCTCTTTAAAAAAATTATATCCTTACCTATCCCCAAAATAACCTAATAGTGAGGGTGGCCCACTAAAACTAATACTTGCAAAAATTTAATTATACTTACCCTCAGCACCATATTTCTTATAAATCTTATCTTCAGCCCCCCAAAATGCCAATTAATAACCTGACAAAAACATAATACTGAAATGCAAATACTGAAAATAAAGTACACCCAATGTGCAAAAAAAAAAAAAAAGCAATAAGCAAAAAACAAAATATTTAAAAAATTTAAAACGTGATGCAAGAGAAGTGGATCCTTTTTGCCCCACAAGGGTTCCTTGTAGAATGTGGCTCTAAATCAGGAAAAGACTTCACATGTGCACCGTCGTATCACAGCAGATCTATAACCCATTACCCAGACCCCAATAAACTACAGACACCGATTTCTACAGTTGGAATTATTTGTCCACAGCTTTATTAAATATATCATAAATTATAACAATTAGGGTCATTGCCAACAACCACTACGTCATTTTAAAACCATAATCCCCCCATACATAATCTCCTCTGGCAATGACCCAACAAAAAACAGTATATAACAATATATATATATAAAACACATAACACATAACATGGCCGTTCATACGACCCCACTTCCAATGATAAACTGCAGGTGTGTCCCGAGACACCCCTACACCACCAGGTTCGGAGCCACCAAAGAGCTCGAACCTAGCAACCAAGTAAACTCCTGTCATAATCACCCTAAACCTATAGCCATAGCTCAGGACTTGACCCCCTAAGCTCCTGAGTGCCCCACAACACACAAAAACAGGGCCCTGGCAATACCCTCCTGAAAACCCAGGATAAGCAGATCATACCCGACATCTGGTAGATGGACCCCATCCTGCCCAAAATACCCAGGAAGCATACCTTCCAATTCCCGATGCCTCACCGTTATACTTCCTATTCTCCTGACAAAAATCGCCATCATCTTGTTCACTTTGCTCCGACACTGCCCTACTGTGGCTTGGTTCCTAGCATGCCTCCAGTGAAAATGCGGAACCATTTCGGACCACACTATCACCATACCTGGGACTAGCTCCCGTAGCTGGTCCAAATACCTCTTCATTCTTTGCACCAAGACTCTCTTTGGGACCAGCCCTAAGTCATTACCCAGAGCATGTATTAACAATATATCTGGCGCCAATCCCCCCAACAACCTCCAAAATATTTCCCCACTGACACCGTTGCCCCTCAGTCCTGAATGAGTGGGTTCCAAACTGCATGGGATCCAAACCCAACCTCTGTAGCCCTAGCTTAAAAACCTAAAAAACCAGAAAACGTGACAGGACGGACCCATCCCTCAACCTACGGGCGAACGTCCAAATATGTATATGTACATGACACTGGGCATGCACCTGAGCCTGGTAGGGAATAGAGTGTAACTGAGCAACCCTTCCCGAACTCGGTCTTGGAGTGCCAGAGCCAAATCGACACCCTATCTGACCCCATGTCGACATCCAAAGTCTCCCGACTCCGAGCTAGTTAACACTCACCAGTTCCCCAATTCGAAATGCCTTGAAGAAACACAGAATTCCTGGCTGGCCCAACTCCAGGTAGACCATGCAAAAAAAAATTCTGAAGAGCTCTGTGCGAGATACTATGAAACCAACATGGGACAGTGGGACAGGAGAACAAAATCATTTGGTCCTCCCGGATCTGGGACAGTTGGACGGTATACAGTTTATACGTGAACAGAAATCTACCATATAACATACACATTTCTCATGTTTATGCCATATGGAACGTGTGTCAAACTTTAGAGGAATATATGTAATATTTACTTATTTTATTTAATTGAGCAGTAGAGTAAAAATAAAGTGGCCTCATGATAATAAAAAGTAGGGCTAGTCATTTATATTTTGGACCTGTGCTTTTTAAGTAGTTTATTTTTATGTATGATAAACAGATTTGTAAATGCCAGAATACAATGTCTCTGCACAATATTGCCCCCTGGTGGTAACACAAATTCTGCCATACAAACTGTATACTATACGAAATACTATAGAGTTACTGTTGGCAGTGCGGGGATTGCTTCGGTCGTATACCAACAGACAAAATTTCAGTTCAGGATTTCTGCCTTTTCAAAAACAAAAAAAATACTCATGGGAGCCAACCTATTAATTCATACATTTATATTTAGCCTTGGCCATATATACTAGATTCATAACTCCAGAGCACCATTACTGCAGACGAACTGCACACTGGATAAAACTCTGGGATTTGACCACTAACTCATAAAATTGAACTGCAAAGTTTAGGCTACTGGTGAAATTAACCATGTTTATATTTTCCAAATCAGCAAGGTTGGCCTAAATCTTGAAATTTAGAGAATGTCATGTTTTATGGATTAACGGTAACCTTAAACATTTTACAAACCACATCTTCTGTGTATTTTTTTATTTTATTTTATTTTCTCTACCTTAATGGTTAAATGTTGATTTCTGTGCAAATGATCTTTTACAGTTTACTCGTCCAAAACAGATTCAGAAAACAAACCCTGGGATATTTGGCAGTCTTTGCTAGCACTGCACGCCCCCTAGAAAGCCCCCGGGGATGCATTCGTAGAACTACATCCGGTAAACAAAATAAGAAAACAAAAAAAAGAACAATTTTCTGAGATATTCTCTTACTTTCAAGTGTAAAATTACAAGTGTATACACATACATTATGAAACACTTCTGTTACTTTTGTTTGTAATATTCTAAACATCAAGCTCATCTTTCATACATCCCATAATATTGCATATATAAATCAAACATTTATTTATGTTTCACAACTGAACACAAAATATATAGATAATTATAATTTAACTAAAAACTTTTTTGAGTATTCTCTTAGGCATTGATTCACAAACCTAGCCTCACAGGCAAAAACCTTAGATTTCTCCTCTCCATGTAACTCAGTCTAACGTCAGCACGAGCCTTCTCATAGAGAAGCCATTGAGGGGAATGGAGTAGTGTTGGAGCATTACCATTATACCGTCCAAGCATTATACAGCAGAGCTCTCAGTAGCTCAGAAAAGTGTGAGTTGAATATCTATATTTCTAAAAAAAATACTACAATAAGGACTTAACATATTGCACTATTATCTGTATATACTGTTTTTTATTTTAAAGATTCTGTACAATCTGGAATTACCACTCTTTGGTTGTGAATAAGTGTACATACACACCTGTTTCCACATTATCTGCACTATAAGGTTGTTTTGAATATCATTTATTCCTGGTGCAGTAGATCACTTAAGTTTTTTTCATTATTTTACATCTATATTATAAGACTATTACAACAACTTAAAGGACCACTTTAGGCACCCAGACAACTTCAGCTCAATGAGGTGGTCTGGGTGCCAGGTCCCCCTGGTTTTAACCCTGTAACTGAAAACATAGCAGTTTCAGAGAAGCTGCTGTTTTCATTGAGGGTTTATCCAGCCGCTAGTGACTGTCTCACTGACAGCCACTACAGGCACTTCCACGATTTTCAGTGTGGAAATCACACTGAGATGATGCTGACGTCCATAGGAAAGCATTGAGTAATGCTTTCCTATGGGCGGTTTGAATGCGTGCGGCTCTGGCCGCGCATGTACATTCGGAGCTGACGTTGACAGGGAGAGGAGAGGTCACCAGCACTGAGGGAGTCCAGTGCTGCATTAAGGTAAGTGGCTGAATGGGTTTTAACCCCTTCAGCCCAGTGGGAGGGGGGGGGGGCATAATAACCTTATAGTGCCAGGAAAACAAGTTTGTTTTCCTGGCACTATAGTGCTCCTTTAAATATCATGACTACTATAAAATGTGTACACATTTATAGATATAAATCTGGCTAGTTTGTCCCAGTTACATGACATGGGCTTTTCTCCCATACGCAAATACCATTTTAATTTCAATGGTGTTGAGAACCTTACGTCTTTGGCTGTGATTTAAAAAAATGCAAAAATATCTTTTAAGGGATTGTGTACTCAAGAAATAATTAGTTACAAGCAGGAACCGAGAGTGTGATTGTTATATTTTCAGATACCTTGCGGATGACTTTGTGCTTCAAATAAGTTTGTCCTCTTGAGCAGCCCAGATGTGTATTTATATAAGCACATGCAGACATGTACATGTGTGTGTTTATTAATAAACAATGGATGGAAATTACTGATACAAACTTCATAAACCACTGGCATGAATATATTATCAAAACTACTTAAAATAAATATCTGAGTATCATAATAAAAATACAAACCAAAAAACTTGCTTTGAATACAGTAGTTCTGAAATGCATATATATTTTAAATTAAATGTTACATATAGTTACATGGTAATACAAGCTTAAAAAAGACTTATATCCCACAAGTTCAGCCTTTCACATACCGCAGTTACTGTTGTTGATCCAAAAGAAGGCAAACTGCCCACCAATATGAAGTGATGTCTAATATTGCCATGAAATGGGGGAAAAAATTCTCTTTGACTTCACAAATGAATTTTTTTCATGGATTAACAAACTCTAACCCCACAAGTTAAAGGAACACTACAGCATTAGGAATAGAAACACAAATCCTTAATGCCATATTGTCCTAGTGCATATTTAGATTAAGGGCCTCGCTGCACCAACCTCCCCTTTTCTCCTGTAAAAAATAAAAGGAGAAAAAAGTTTGTACTTAGCTTTTTCCCAGAGCTGAGACTCACTTGCTGATGCTACCCACTCCTCCTCCTACAAAGTCGTCTTGGAGGTTTAACTTCCACGATGATAGTATAATCCACCATGTGCGCATCCAATGAAATGCTTCTCATAGTGAAACATAGTTCAATGCTTCCCTATGAGCTGCATTTGATAATATTGAACATCCTTTTGGATGTTAAAGAACACATGAATCTCGGTTGTTGTTATAGATCACATAACTGGGTGAATCTCGGTTGTTGTTATAGATCACATAACTGGGTGAATCTCAGTTGTTGTTATAGATCACATAACTGGGTGAATCTCGGTTGTTGTAGATCACATAACTGGCCGAATCTCGGTTGTTGTTATAGATCACATAACTGGGTGAATCTCGGTTGTTGTTATAGATCACATAACTGGGTGAATCTCGGTTGTTGTTATAGATCACATTACTGGGTGAATCTCGGTTGTTGTTATAGATCACATAACTGGCCGAATCTCGGTTGTTGTTATAGATCACATAACTGGGTGAATCTCATTTGTTGTTATAGATCACATAACTGGGTGAATCTCGTTTGTTGTTATAGATCACATAACTGGGTGAATCTCGTTTGTTGTACTGTGAAGAGATCTGCCACTAAAGAGTGGTGTGTTTGAACCTGCAATGTAAGCATTGCAGTTTCTATAAAACAAGGCCACTAAGATTAAGTGATCTGGGTCCCTTTAATGGTTCTTGAAATATCTATTTCTATTTATTTCTGGTGCATGGCTCATTTACCTATCTATCAGGAGTACATTAGTTGTATCACATAATAAATAGCCAAGTATATCAGTGTTCAATAAAACACTGGCCCAGTGGCAGCTATTTGGAAATATAACTTTGCCTGGAGTGGCAAACCTCCTTACACACTCCCTGTTTTTACAATAAAAAATAAAAAAACAAAGCAAAATATGCTATGCAAAATTAGACAGTCAAATGTACAATTTTACACCAGTAACAAAGACCAACACCAACAACAAAAATTACCATGGATACTACCTCCAACAGACTGGATTCACAGTATTCACACACTATAAAGGAATGTTGAGAACTATGCAGTATTTCTATTCTGGGAAACATGATACTCAGCAGATGCAAAATTACACACATGTACAACTGGCTCTGCACAGAGTCTTTTCTACAAGGTCATTCACAGTGCTTTGGTGTTAACCCAGAAAATTATTTGTGTCACGGCTCGTGGGTAACGTAAGATCACTTCATCTATCTTTTTTTTTCGACTGTGAGAGTTCTGCTCAGCAACAAATACAACAGCCCTACATACATCAAATAATCGTTCTTCTTGGCTTTGGATACATTGACTCTTCCGTTTTTGGATTACATTTTTGAGTGTAAATTTGAAATTGTGATATCAATATAATTACAATAATTCCAATTTTTGCAGATATGTCTTGCACATGTTGAATTTAATGCAGTTAAAAATGAATTCGCAAAATGTATCTTTCCCTACATTTATGTAGCATATGAATAGATAAATCATCCAAACATGCCTATAAATTCAAAGTGTACATGCATCCTGCTGCTGTACCTTATTAACCCTTAGCTATCTCTGCTTTTTAAAAGACTGATGTTTAAATTCTTCCAGCTCTATAGAGGCTAGAAATGACACAGCTAATCCTTTCCAGTGAAAATCTGCAAGCCTCAGGTGTATTTAAGACAGCAGAAGAGAGGTTTCTGCCCTGGCTCTATGTAGGATTAGTTGGTTGTGCACAAATACTTTTGAGTAGCTTATAACACACACACACACACACACACACACACACACTCTCTCTCTCTCTATAAACAGCACTTCAATCTATGTATATTGAAGTGCTGTTTTTCAGACCTTCTGTTCTAGAGGGGTTGTGGAACCAGAGAACTTCCTAGTCTGTTTTGGTTGCAAATATTGCAATAATTAAAATGCAAAAAACAAAACATTATCATACACTTGATTGGGAGACATTGACCACAATGCTAATACCAAGATTTTTACCCCTCTACAAAAAATCATATTTATTTATATTCCCAACATTTGTAGTTGGCTGAACACCATGTTTTCTGTACAGAGAACAAGGGTTTGACTTGGACACCATGCAATAAGATGCAACACCTTCAGATTCTGAATTAAAACCTGTGACGTCCCCACCCATGAACAACAGCCGGGGAGGAACATTTTTGATAAACCAAAAAGGTTTAAAAATAAAAGGATTGACAAGAAGAATCTACAGATAGAAATACTCACCCAAACTACTGTCCCTTGGTGACTTGTCACTACCTTTCTTCCCAAACCTCTACCAGTAGGCGTCCAGGTGTCAGATATTCAGTGAGTAATGCTGTTTGTGTCTCATGTCATTGTATAACTTGGGCTACTGAAATCTCTTTAGTAACCCCAAAAGTATGTGCAGGATGTTGACATCCCACTAAATGTAATCTGCTTATCCCTCTATGCATATTGAAGCCCAAATCTGAGACTGGGGAGAACTATTATTATACTCTAAATAAACAAGAATCACAAACTGCAAATCACACATACACACCTTCATACACTTTACAAACATCCCATAGACCTATACATACAAATCTGCCATCAGAAATGTTGGGGCTCATTACACACTCATCTGCCCCAGAGACTGCCTATAGGGGCCACCATGAGTCCACCAATACTGATGCAGTATGTGTAGAGTGAATGCAGTGTGTATATAGGTATTATTATTATTATTATTATTATTATGATATTTATATAGTGCCATCAAATTCCGCAGCGCTTTACAATGGGTGGACGAACAGACATGTAGTTGTAACCAGACAAGTTGGACACACAGGAACAGAGGGGTTGAGGGCCCTTCTCAATGAGCTTAAATGCTAGAGGGAGTGGGGTAAAATGACACAAAAACTTAAGGATAGTATTAGACTAGTGACAGTTGCAGAAGAGGAATCAGTCAGGAGCTATTAACAGTTTAATTGATACGCTTTTATGAAGAAATGGGTTTTTAACGATTTTTTGAAGTAGTGGAGACTGGATGAGCATCTAGCGGAGGAGGGAACGGTTATACAGGAACCGAGAAATCTTGAAGGCGAGCATCAGAGGTGGGAGTACGGACAGAAGATAGACGTAAGTCTTCAGCAGATCATAAGGGCCTAGACGGGACATACATGTGTATAAGGGAGGATAGATAGGTGGGAGCAGCATTATGTAGAGATTTGAAAGCAAGAACCAGAATTTTAAAGGTTGATGAAGAGTGTGTGTAGTGATTGCAGAGTGTGTGTGTAGTGGATGCAGTGTGTGTATAGTGGATGCAGTGTGTGTATAGTGGATGCAGTGTGTGTATAGTCAATGCAGTGTGTGTGTGTGTAGTGGATGCAGACTGTGTGTGTGTTGTGGATTCAGTGTCTATATTGTGTATTTAGAGTTTGTGTGTGTGTGTATAGTGGGTGTACTTTATACAGTGAGTATTAGTGGATGCAGAGTGTGTGTGTGTGTAGTGGATCCAGTGTGTATATAATAGATGCAGAGCGTGTGTAGATGATGCATTTAATAAATAGTGGATGCAGTGTGTGTATAGTGGATGCTGTGTGTGTGTAATGGATGCAGTGTGTTTGTGTGCAGTGTATTCAGTGGATGCAGTGTGTGCATAGTAGGTGCAGTGTGTGTATAGTAGATGCGATGTGAGTGTATAGTGGATGCGGTGTTTGTGTAATCGATGCAGTGTGTGTGTGTGTGTGTGTGTGTGTGTGTGTGCTGTGTGTGTGCAGTGGATGCAGTGTGTGCATAGTAGGTGCAGTGTGTGTATAGTAGATGTGAAGTGTGTGTATAGTCGATGCTGTGTTTGTGTAATGGATGCAGTGTGTGTGTGTGTGCAGCTACACAGCGCAGAGTCCAGACATCAGCTCTACAGCTCAGGTAAGGGAGGGATGGGGGGAAAGGCAGCAGGGACACATGGGGACACTGAGACACTAGGGGACACATGGGGACACTGAGACACTAGGGGACACAAACACTAGGGGACACTGAGACACTAGGACACAGACACTGGGAGACCTGGGAACACTGAGACACTTGGGGACACTTGGGGACATATGGGGACACAGACACTAGGGGACACTGAGACACTGGGAGACCTGGGGACACTGGAAAATATGGGGACACTGAGACACTAGGGGACACATGGGGATGCTGAGACACATGGGGACGCTGTGAGACATAGGGACATTGGGAGACACTGAAACATTGGGACATGGAGACACTATGTTCCCATGTCCCCCAGCCAGTGTCCCTAGTGTCTCAGTGTCCCCAATTTTTCCAGTGTCTGTGTCCCATGTCTCTCAGTGTGCCTAGTGTCCCCATGTCTATGTCCACAACTGTCCTCATGTCTCCCCAAGTGTCTGTCTCCCAGCCAGTGTCTCCTAGTCTCCCAGTATCCCCTAGTCTCCCAGTGTCCCCTAGTCTCCCAGTGTCTGTGTCCTTAGTGTATTTGTGTCCCCAAATGTTTCAGTGTCTCCATGTCTCCCAGTGTCTGTGTTCCTAGTATCTCAGTGTGCCTGGTGTCCCCATGTCTCCCAGTGTCCCTATATGTCCCAGTGTCCACATGTCTATGTCCACAACTGTCCCCATGTCTCCCAGTGTACCCAAGTGTCTGTCTCCCAGCCAGTGTCCCCTAGTCTCCCAGTGTCTGTATTCCCATGTCTCTGTGTCCCTAGTGTCCCCAAATGTTTCAGTGTCCCCATGTCTCCCAGTGTCTGTGTCCCTAGTGTCTCAGTGTCCCCATGTCTCTCAGTGTTCCCAGTATCCTAGTGACATGGGGACACACTGAGACATTGAGACACTGGGAGAAATGGGGACACAGACACTGGGAGACTAGGGGACTGGGCGACATGGGGACACTGACACTGTGATACATAGGGACACTGAGACACTGGGTGACTTGCGAGACTGAGACACTGGGAGACAAGGAGACACTGGGAGCAATCCATCTATACAGCAGATGGATTGCTGAGTTTGTAGGTGATTTTACAGAATTTTCTCTGATGTCACTCCTTGTGATTTACATCATGTGATGTCACACATAACTAATTAATTATACAAATGATTAAGGCTGGACATTTTTTCCAAGAAAGGTGGCAACCTTAACAACTCTTCACATACTCTTGCTTAAAGGAGCACTATAGGGTCAGGAACACAATCATGTTAAAACCACCACCCTGGCCCCTTCTTGCCTCCCTAAATATAGTAAAATATTACTTGTATTCAATTCTGCAGCTGCTGGCTCAGAAGTGGTGGTCTGAGCAAATTACAATACTTCCCCATAGGATTGGCTGAGACTGTCAACTAGGCAGATCAGGGGCAGAGCCAGCACAAGTCCAACATAGCCCTGGCCAATCAGCATCTCCTCATAAAGATAAATTGAATCAATGCATCTCTATGAGGAAAGTTCAGTGTCTGCACGCAGAGGGTGGAGACACT